TTTTAGCTCTATTTTTGCTCCTTTTGCTTGTACCTTTGGTCATTTCATCATCGCTTTTTGCATTTTTGGGGTATTTTTGGTCATTTTAAGCCTTGTTTTTGCTTTTTTGGTATATTAAAAAGCTTAAATCTCTGGAGGATCCATCCCTCCATCAGAGCTGTTGGGGTCCAGTCCACTTCTGGTTCCTCTGGCCTTTCCTCCCTGTTTTGGTTCCTGGTTTCATTCAGTTTCTGACCCACTGTGGGAGGTTTAGCTGCTGTTAAACACCCGACAGGATACATTTAGCTCTGTTTTAGCTCTATTTCTTCTCTATTATGGTAATTTTAGATCTATTTGAGCTCCATTTTGGTCATTTTAGCTCTATTTTTGCTCCTTTTGGTCATTTCATCACTGCTTTTTGCATTTTTGGTGTATTTCTGGTCATTTTACGCCTTGTTTTTGCTTTTTCGGTGTATTAAAAAACTTCAATCTCCGGAGGATCCATCCCTCCATCAGAGCTGCTGGGGTTCAGTCCACTTCTGGTGCCTCTGACAGAGTTCCTCCTGTCTCCTTCGTCCATGGCTTCTTCCAGCCCCCTTCATGGAGAGCGTTTATGCTTCAGCCACCAGGAGCTGGTCAGCTGGAGGTCCAGATGCAGCTCTCAGCTCCTGTCCAGCTCTCTGCTGGATCTGATCCTCTTTCTGAAGGACTCTCAGGTTCTCTTCATCTGCTGGATCACAGAGTTTTTCAGGCCCAGCTCTTCTTCTTCTTCTGTCCTCCTCTGGTCCAGTTTTCAGATGTTTCCAGGACTCTGCTCACCAGATCTTTCCAGTTTCCAGCAGCAGCTCTTTGGGAATCCTCAGAACTCCTGTTTCCTGTTTCCTGTTTCTGTCTGATGGGTTTTCTGAGGCCTTTTCCCTCCATCAGCTCCAGAAATGGAACAGATGACGAGTCTCTATGACAAAGAGCCTGAAGATCCACTTTAATTGGACACAACGCTGGCTCAGCCGTTGAGTTAGGGGCTGATTCTGTTCTATGTGGACACAGAGTGGCTCAGCCCTTGAGTTAGGGGCTGATTCTGTTCTATGTGGACACAGAGTGGCTCAGCCCTTGAGTTAGGGGCCTGTTTCTCTGCCTGAATAACTCAGAGCTCGGTTAAATATCCAAACAAAGAAAACACACATTCCCCTGAAAATGCTCCGCTGAGGACAGAAAACGAGAGGAAAAGCAGAAAATAGACAGAACTATTTCTCCTTAAAACACCAAAGGCTGTTTGGGAATAAACAGGGAATGCGTCCAGACTCCAGACTGACCACTGGACCTGCGTCCCGGGGCTTTTGGGCCCGGTTCCGGTCAGTATAACCCCAGAAAACGGATCGTGCAGAGGGTCTGCGGACTTACAGGAGTGCAGGCACTCTACGATGGTGGTGGCGTCGATCAGGTACCCGGCGCACAGCGGACACGTGAGGTGCGCGTTCAGATCTGTGATTTTGACCCGGTTCGGCTGCATTTTCTCCATCTGGACAGACCTGGAAAGGAAAGGACAAGAGAGAGAGGTGAAGAGGAAGTGGGAGCACTGCTGGAGACCCGGACCCGGAGCTGGAGCACACAATGCCGGGGAACGGGGACGCGTTAAACACGGATAAACACGGAAAAACGTCGCACTATAAACACGGCTCTAACCAAGCCGAGCCGGGCCGTGCCGGGCCGTGTGGAGCCGTGCGGAGCTGAGCGGAGCCCGGCCTCCCCCTCCGGAGCTCCGGGCTCCGCTCCTCCGCCAACAAAGAGCGCCTCCATTTCCCCGGAGCTCCACCGGGGCTCCACCGGAGAACCACCGGGGTTCCGGGGGCCTTCCGGGGGGTCGCTCCCCGCTCAGAGCCGCCCAGAGCTGGTGCACAAAGCAGCCATCTTACATGCACTGACAGGGCTGGATCAGCGGGCGAACAACGGAGGCTGGCCGGGGCCCCGCGGGCCTCCG